AGAAGCTCCAATGTGCAGAGACTATGCTTTCCACATACTTTGCTGTCTACATAGAAAAGTGATCAACAGAACACAAGAAAAAGCCCCACACAGGGTGGACTTAGCATATTCATCCACAGGCAAACAAGAACAAATTCACCTTGGCCCAGCCAGCCAAGAGATGTGAAAAATGGAAATATTTTTGTTTTGTCTTGTCTGAAGGACAAATCAGAATAACACTGTGTTTGATCTCTTTCTGCATTTGATAATGCAAGGTCCCGTGAAGAGCAGCTTGAGTCTGTCCCCACAACCTTCAGTCCTCCATCCCAACTACAGGGAACACAGGATGCTCCGTGAAGGTCTCATTTTCCCTCTCAACTTTTGGCCTTCACCCAAACTATGACCTTGACCTGTGCCTTGGGTTATTCAACTTTATGCTCCTGTCTGCTGTCAAAACATGTCATCAGCCTTCCCAGATTCTTTGTATTTGAGATACCCAGGTGTCACTTCTAGGATGCTTCCAAACTTTCCTCCTGAGCCAGGGACCCTCTTCTACATTCCTGTGTGTCCTCAGTCAGCTAGCTCCTCTCATGGCCACTACAGTCTGCTCTCTATCTGGGTAGAGAAATCTCTACTTGGCATCTCTGGAAGAGCTAAAATGCCAACCACACAGGCTCTCTGCTTGCTAAATATTTTCAGTTCATGACACACACACATGAACAAACTCAACAAATGCTTATTGGGATAGACATAGATAATCCACCTGAGAGAACTGCATGACTGTGCACGACACGGTGTTTACATTTTTAACCTAAAAAACAATCGCCTTCAAAGAGTCTTAAAAGAATTGTGGGAGGAGGGAATAAAGATGAGACAAGAACAACAGGATGCTGGGAACTGCTGAAGATGGGTGTCACGCACAGGAAACTCACTGTCATGTGCTGTTTATGTGTGTTTGACATTTCCCTAAATAAAAAGCTAAAATGCCACACCCCTGCGCTCATGTGAATAAGTATTAATGAAGTATCAATAGCAGAAACTCTTCAGCACTCCTGCAGGAATGTCTGAACTGGGAAGGGGAAGGAAGGGAAAGGAAACCAATGGTGCTAAGTCACTTAGGGTGACCTACAGTTTGTCTTCCTCCTCCTAACTCTGAGATGGTTATAGATGGGGAAATATAGATGGGTTATAGATGGTTATAGATGGCTATAGATGCAGCTTGATGGTGAGTAAGTGAAAGAGCCAAAATTTAAACCTTTAAACTTATGCCCAACTCCCCAGTCCTCCTGCCTCAGCTTCCTAAGTGCTAGGACTACAGATGGTACCACCACACCTGCTTTTACTGCTACTATATTACTTAAGAGCTATATCTGGAAAGACTGCATTATTTGGGATGGATAACTTAGTAAAACTTAACCTGAAAAAAAATTATTAAAATTCCAAGAAATAATAGTTATACCCTAGAAGCATTCCCACACCAGGGACAGTGGTTCGTCTGGTGTCCCCCCTTTGGGGTGATCCAGTACAATACCTTTATTTATGTTTCCAGTATCCAAAGACCTGGCTGAGTCTCTACCTGGCTCCCTTTCTCTTGTACACACATCACCATGATAACAAATTGGCAGAGGCTGCAGGCCAGGTTTTAACAGACACCACCATAGGTCACCACGGGTAGAGACTTCTGCACCAGCTCAATGCCACCCACAAAGTTGTCTTCTGCAACATGTAACACGCCGAAGCCTTAACCTCAAAGACACCTTGGACGTGAATGCTGCCAGTAATAATAGGCCACCAGGAGCTTGTCCCCTTTCCTGGCCAGGGTGCCGCTCTGACAGATGCCAGGCTTAGCATCACGAGAGATGAGCCCATTACGGGCTTGGAAAGCTGCTACCACTTCTTATTGCATCTTCTCCCGCCAAAAAAAAAATGATCGCATGGTGCTCGGGGCGGTGCCAAATGTGTGGAAATATGGGCCTCTTCCCTGCTGCACACAGACCCTAATGTCCTCATCCCCAGTGAAAGCCAAGGCTGCCGTCCAAACGCACCATCCCTTTAAGGCCTATTTGGTGCTAAGCAAAAAGTGTTCCCCATCGATATGTGAATCAGAGCCTCTTCATGGACTGTGGAGTTCCTGCTATCTGCATTCCCTGTTCCCTTCCTCCACACTGGCCCCAAGGACATGTTACCAAATGCTGTATTCCAGTCAGGCCCTCCAGAAATAGTTGACATCTAGTCCAGAAAGGTAATTACTAACATAATTATCAAAACCTTTTTTTTTCTTTCGGGGCGAAGTAGAGCCCATCTCTCTAGGAAAGCTGCCCTTCTGGTTTGTTTGTTCTCCAGCTGATAGGTAATTAGCTCTTAGGGATCGTGCAGGGGTCCTCACCCCTGACACTTCAAAGTGAAACACAAATATCTAAATAGCTTTCTACAGAATATCTTTCTCAAATGCTGAAATTTACCCAGAAGAATAAAACAAATATCACCCCCAAACTTCCTATACTCGGTGTTAGTCTTTTGGTTTGGTTTGGCTTGGTTTGGTTTAGTTTGGCTTGGTTTAGTTTGGCTTGGTTTTGACACAGGGTCTCAGGTACAGGATGGCCTCCAACTTGCTATGGGACAGAGGACAACTTTCAACTTTAGTCCTCTTGTCTCCACTTTTCTCAAGGGCTAGGATTATAAGCATACACCAACACACCCAGTATGCAGTACTGGGGACCGAACTAGGCAAGCACTCTTATCAACTGATCCATATACCAGTCCCTTGAAGCTATCTTCTACATGACTTTGCAACCACATGACACACATCCAGCCTCTGTTTCTACTGTGGAATATCTTAGGCTACTAACACGTGATGGTGTCTTTACCACTTTGGGTAAGTTACTCTTTCTCAAAGCTACCTCTCAGATTCTTTGCCAGGGCAGCCTAGGAACACAGAACACAGCTCCTCCAAGTCCTCAGGCCAGAAGCTGCTGCAGACAGGTAAGCATGGAGGTGGTGATATCTGATTTGTTTTAAGGAAGGACCGAAATTCTAGAAATACACTTAAAATTCAGATAGAATAAAATAAAGGGGGTGTGTTTAGAACCGAAAGTTAGAAGTGTACAAGAAAATGAATTACCATTGTTGCGAACCATGACAAGCCAATCACTGAGAGAGGGGACTCTAAGCAAGACGCCAGCATTGCATGTGTGGCCCGAAGAATGCATGACCTGAAATGCATCTAACACGATGTCTGGGCTCTGGAGCTGTGTGAGTGACACCTGCAAATCCATTTGCTAGCCTGACCAGCAGCAGCTCTGACAATAATCCCCTTCCCTCTCTGACTTGCCTGGAATTTTAGTGAAAGAAGACATGAGTGTGGCCCTCTGGGATTCTACTGATCTCTCTAACCACAGTTTAAAAATGAACAGTCAAATCCCCAGCCTGGTTCAAATTAGCTCCCATCAATTTTACCCACTACCACCTTTGATGGGAGCTAATTAAGCTCCTGTGATTTTTCCCCCCAGACTGTCTCTTTCTGCTCTGGATGAGAACACATTAAATTAGGCCCATCTGTCTAAACAGGAAGAAGGCTACTTACCCCACTGACAGACTTCTTTTCCTACTGAGAGGCGGCCTTAGGGGTTTCCCAAATGCCTTGGGGAACTACGGTAACCCCAAATTGACACAAGCTAGAATTCTGAGAAAAGCAGTCTAGTGCTGTGTCAGCCATCATGTACCGGTTCACAGTCATCATTTCCTTGTACAATGAGATGTCTGGGAAAACTGTACACTGTGCTGTTAGACTACCATTCCTTCAAGCTCCAAATGACAATGATCAAGAACTAAGGGTTGGGGGGTAGAGCTCAGTGGATGGCACTTGCTTAGCATGTACCAAGGACCTGGATTCATTCCCCAACTTTGAAAAAAAAAAAAAAAAAAACAACCAAAACCAGCAGGGCAGGTGATGTACCAAAGTTGGCAGAGTGCTTGCCTAACATATAGGAAGGCCTCCTTGGTTCCATCCCCAGCAATACATAAACCCAACATGGTGTTGCAGGTCTATAGTCTCAGAAACTGGGAATTAGAGTCAGGGGATTGGAAGTTCAGAATCATTTCTTCCCACGTGGTGAGTTCAAAGTTAGACTAAGATACATGAAACTCTATCTCAAAAAATAAAATAGGGCCAATGAGAAACAACTAAGAAGCAGGAAACCGAAGTGGATCCAGTTTAAACTGGTGGATGGAAGGGATGGGAAATGTGTTTTCCAGGCAGTGTGCAGCTCAGAACTACCAGCACACAGTTAGACTCGGGGCTCCACTAACTTCACAGGCAGACGTTTACACTTCAGACAAATGATTTTGTGAGAGAAGCAACAGTATCTTCAAATACAGTGCCTGCAAAGAGATCCCAAGGATACTAGAGAACTGCAATAAAGTGTTAAGTAATGAAGTAGGAAGTGATTTTTTAAAAATATTATCCAAGATCATCTTACAGATTTTTTTTTTTTTTTAATGTTCAGACAAACACTGAAACTCACAGGAGAGCCCCTTGTTCCCAGGGGGAGAAGTTATGACTGACTTTTGGCAGAGAATTTACCTAACTTATACAAGGCTCTGGGTTCAATCCCCATCACCCATGGGGGGGGGGGACGGGGACCAGAAGGAAAGAAAGAACTTGCCTTGACTCAGCTGTTAGTCAATAAAAAAACACAGTATCAACTGGCGAAGAATAGAAATACCCTTTCTCTTAAGATTAAAAAGAAAGGAAGGAAGGAAGGAAGGAAGGAAGGAAGGAAGGAAGGAAAGAAGGTTGGTTTAGCCTTTCAGCGACTGCACAAGTTTGGTCAACACTCAACCAAAAGAACAGAGTTGGTCTTTTGGTCATCTGGTGTTTCACCACACCTAGCCAGAAGCTGACGGACTGAGCCTCCAGGCACAGTTGGGGCACTAAGAAGGACCAGGGGGCTGGAAGACGGGGAGCATCAATGGGAACCGCCCTCCTCAACAGTAGCCGTTTCCCACAGCCACACACTCACCAAATCCAGGTCCTGGGAAACTCGCCGCTTCCGAAGCTCCTCCATCCGCTCACAAACGTCGGAGAAGCAGGTATTATAATAGTCTGCATACTGCTGTGCCAGGTCATCGATGTTTCCCAGGGAACCATCCTGAAGGGAGGAAGAGAGAGGAAAAGAACAGAGGAGGTCAGGTGAGTCTTCTTTGGAAATGCCTTCTAACATCAAATCTACCCCCACTCCCCTACCCTCCCACCCCCGCTGCCGAGTGTTATAGAAATAATGGCTGATATTCATTACCTGGTATGCACAGACCAGGCTAGGTTTTACATGTGTGACAGAATTCCCAAGACAGTCCTCAGATATGGGGACAGTTCTTTTCCTTATTATATTTTTGGGTAAACTAGTCCATAGAACATGTGTAAGCTGCCTGTAGATCCCAGGGCTAACAAAAAGCCAGGTTTCTCTTTGAATCTACCAAGACAAAAACCATAGTAACCCACTTATCCCTTCCTAGCATGGCTGAGAGCGGAGCCGATAGGGAAGAAGTATAGTTAGAAGTCACTGACACCCATTTGTGGCTATGGATGCTCAGCATTTCCCAGGAAGCTACTGAAAGTCCCAGATGTCCAAAACTTTGAATGAATCCTGTGACTCCAGGTTCTATGGGAGGAGGCTACATCTAGAGCATCCTGCGTGCCCTCACAAGAAACAAAAAAAAAAAAAAAAAAAAAAAAAAAAAAAAAAAAAGAAAGCCTTTAGTTATTTGTGTTTGCCAGGAGTCATCATTCATAGTTGTAGTCATTAATATTCATGCTGTTCATTAGATTTATTATTCATTAGACATTCAGGCACAAGAGCACATGGCACAAGTTCACCTAAATAAATAAGTAAACATGTCACTTGTCTCTTCACAGAGGCAGGATGCCAGGTAGTCCTATGAGTTTACATCCATTTCTGTGATCTCTCAATTACCTCACCTGGAGCTCATTTCTCAACCTCTTGGTGACACCGGGTAAATGACAGCACCCACCACAGAGCAAGCAGGAATGGAGCATCGCCTCTGAACATGCCAACAGGCTGGCACACAGCAAACGTGCAATACTTACTTACCAGGTGGCATTCAGTACAAGAGGTAATCATATTGCACTTTTGCTCAGGGCGAGAGGCTAGTGGGTTCCTCGGCACATGTCTGAACACGCACACGGAGGGTGACCAGAATGCATTTCTTCTATCACTATCTTCCACCAAGAAGATACCTCCCCTCCTCTGTTTCATTACTTCCCACATGTCCTCCCTAATTTGGTGAATAGGCAACTTGACCAGGAGAGCCAAGTAGAATTAAGACAGCCACAATGTATAGATGGACCTAAAGTTCACACCCAAATATCCACACTACAGACTGCTGGTCAACCCCTTGGGTTATTAGTGCAGTGTCTGTATCAATAGATCTCTCACAGCAAAGCAGCCTTACAGACAGCAGAATTGGGGGTTAAACGTCTCCTGATGTCCTTCTGCTACGGCTTAAGCCCTAGTCAGAGGTCTACAGCACCTAGTGACCATCTCCTCCTACTTCTGCATTTTTTGATTTTTAGGAACTAAGGGAGGGGAGAAACAGAAATTGAAATAAAATGGTTTCCTAGAAATGCTCCTTCCTTTTGACCACAAACACGTTCTGCCTTGGAGGGAACTACCTCAGAGTTCCTAGCACAGAGTGGAAAGAGAGAGATGCAGACAAGGCCAATACAGTCTGGGAGCATTTGAACATGTCTGGGCAAAAGTTATTCTCCAAATGCAAGTCACCCTGTGTGGAAAACATAGGCTAGATGCAGCGGGAGAGGAGGGAGCCTACCATCTGCCCTCCAAGGTGCCAGTGAGGACTGACAGCAAGATGGAGATGGGGGGAAGACAAATGTGTGACCTTCCCAGTGTGTCTGCTGTCCAACCCCCGGCATGCACTCGATCCCCAATTCCAACAAGGGCCAGGCCTTTAGAGAATACTGAGTTCCTCATTTTCTAGGTCTTTCCACACTGTGGTGCTTTCCTCACCCAGAAATTTCTGTCTTCATCCATCATGGAAACAACACGGTTGTCACACTGGACCAAATACACAAGTTCCATCTTCTAATACCCAAGTGTCATACTTCATGTTTCCCCTTGCCCCCCCCCCCCCGGGGTTGGGTTGTGCGGGGGTGTGGGTCGTGGTGGGGTGGTGTTGTGGGGGGGTGGGTTGTGTGTGCCTATTGCAAGTGTGTACAGTGCCCATTGAGACCAGAGGACGGTACTAGTTCCCAGTACTTAGAGTGACAGACAGTTTTGAGCCACTATGTGAGTGCTAGAAACCAAACCTGGGTCCTCTACAAGAACAGTACCTGCTTTTAACCCTGAGTCATCTATCCAGCTCTTGCCTGCTGCTTTTGAACAACAACAACAACAAAAAAAAAAAAAAATCAATCTCCTCCTCTCACACATACATACATAGACACTCCAAATGGAGTTCCAACCTCTCTCTCTGACACACACACACACACACACACACACACACACACACACAAAACCAATTTTGTGGGGAATGTGGTTCAGCTGATAGAGTACTTGCCTGGTGTACACAGAGCCCTAGGTTCCATCGCAGCACCACATAAACAGGGACTAGGGAAGTGGTTCCCAACCTGTGGGTGAAGGTTGAACAACCCTTTCACAGAGGTCGCCTAAGACCACACTGCATACCCAATATTTACCCCAACAATTTTAACAGTAGCAAAATTACAGTTATGAAGTAGCAATGAAAATAATTTATTTAGGGGTCATTACAACATGAAGAACTATGTTAAGGGTCACAGCATTGGGAAGGTTGAGGACCACTGGCTCAGTGCTTCATGCTTATAATCCCAGCATTTAGGAGGTGGGGGACAGGAGGATCAGATGTTCAAGATCATCCTTGGCTAGACTGCTACTTGGAGACTAGCCTAGGATCTATGAGACCCTGTCTGGGACAAACAAACAAAATGGATACTTATGTACAACTTTCCCCATTATGAACTATGGAATCAGTCACTCTGACTGTTTTCTTGGATTGATCCAGGACAGCTGAAAACATTAGAAGACAATCACTTATATAACTATACTCAAACCATCCTTTTTTCACTCTCATCATATGTCCTACAGACATTCACTAAATATCACTTATTTGGATATGAAGCTTTACTGGTCGGTTTCTCATACCAGCCCAACAGTTAGCTTTTTAGCTACATTCTGCATTGCTCAGAACTCCCCTGGTACTCAAGCAGCCTAGAAAAAAAAGTTTCTGTTGCTTCTGAGGAAGCAAACATCTGTTCTGCTCCAATCAGGCCACAGCCAGCCCATATTTCACACCTTCAACATGGCCGTGTGGCCATTCCTCATTTGTCTCTCAGTGGGTAAGAATTTAAAGTGGGGTAGCACAGCTGTCTTTACGTGCACCCAAATCACTTTCCAGATGTGCAGTGAGTCCCCATAATTACTACCTTCATGTGTCCTGATGATTTAAAAGCCAAAATGGCGAAAGACTACAAGAATGTAAGCGTGTTTTAAAAGTAGGTCTTGTTCTGCCATATCCACAAAATTATCTTTTATGTCCCAAATCAAATTGAACCAAGGAAATACCTGGTGATTTTCTCTTTATCCATTCAAACTCCAAGCTCTTAAAAAAAAAAAAAAAAGGAAACTAGTAATAATGATGAGAAAGGAAGGAGACCCTGGGCAATGATGAATTTTTACAGTCTTGATGACAGTGATGCTCTCTGCACGAAGTCTGGTCTCCAAACTCATCCAGGTGTGTGCATTAACTATGCAAAGCTTTTTATGGAGCATCAACTCAAAATCTGTTCTCTTCTGGGCAGTGTTTTTGGGTGGTGGGGATTGGGGAGCTAATTTATGTTCTTAACTAACATGCCACCACACCAGGAAAATATTTACTCCCACAAAGTATATGCAACATGAGGCTGTGGGGGAGTTCAGATAACTCTGTTGATCTTCCACTCCACACCGAATCTTGCTTTCTGTCTCCGTTCTTTGAAGACAGGGTCTCGCTATGTAGCCTAGGCGGGCCTCAAGCACATGGCAATCGTGCTGCCTCAGCCTCCCCAGTGTTGGAATTCCAGGTGTCAGCCAACACACCCAGCCTGCATCTTTCTCCCCAAAAGGTTCACATTAAAGGACACTGGTGATATAAAATAATCTTCTAACAAAAATATGACTAAATCATGTCTACAATTGCCATCATGAACACCATTCAGAAGACACCGAGACATTCTTTTTTCTTTTAAAATGTTGAAACTAGAGAGACAATCGGGGAGTCAATGGGAGTTTGCTGCTTTTGCAGAGGATCTGAGTTCGGCTCCCAGCACCCACATCAGGAGGCTCACAACTGCTGTATTTCCAGCTCCATGGGAGCTGGCACCTCCAGCCCCCTCCAGCACCTGCATTACGGACTGACAGACAGGCAGGCAGACAGACACACACACACACACACACACACACACACACACACACACACACAGATTTTTAATTAACTATTCAGTTTCTGTTCTAGAATTTATTTACTGCCTAATCTGTTTCACTTCCTTGTTTTGCCTTTCTTTTCTTTTCTTTTTGTTTCTTATAAATTAAAATAACCCAGTATGTAGCCTGAATTTAGGAAGAAAATAAATTTCATTTCCTTAAAAGACTATTTAAGTACATTGTTAAAGTTTGGTCATATTATCTTCCTTAATTCAAAAAAAAATTTCTTCCCACTCCATCTTTATAAACAAGAAAAATAAAAGGCTGCAGGCAAGTCTAACTTCTCTTTTCATACTACGGAAGTAACACAGAGTCCGTGCCTAGCACTGCCATCCATACCGTCTGTGTGAATGAAATCTGAGACACACCATCATGGTCAGCACAGTGGATGACAAACTGCAACTTCCTCCGGAGGCCATAGAACACATTTATATCTAGCACTCTCCTCTTACACAGAACCAGCATAAAAACACAGGGACAAAGTACTTTGAACAAACAGTTCAGATTGAACGGCGGCTCTTGTGACTCAGAGGAAAGAACAGCTTTGTTCTCTCAACAACTACTTTACCAGTATTTCTCAGATTCATCCCAAAGCACACTCAGTCTCTGGAAAA